ACCTGGCTAATTTTTGATTTATTGTAGAGATGAGGTCTCCCCAAGTTGCCCAGGTGGGTCTCGAACCTGCGGGCTCAGGCAATCCATGCACCTTGGCTTCCCAAAGTGGTAGGATTACAGGATGAGCCACCAAGCCCGGCCTACTGGCAGTTTTTAAAGCTAGGTCAGAAAATGTGGATGCACACAACATTGAATAAAAATGTGACACATGCAAAGTGCGAGGGTTTAAGTTTTTAAGATTCACAGTAATAACTCTAAAATGATGATAAATTGTAAAAGGCTCTGTGAGTACTCAACATCGTTAACTGACGGGGGAAAAAAAAAAACCCATGGGATCTCTGAGGCAGAAGTTTGTGCTCCTGGACACTAAATACCAAAATAAGGACTGGTTAGTATCAAAGCAGAAAGTTTCACTGAATTTCCCTTTGTTAAATTTACTTCATCTTATAATCTGCTTGGCACTAACATAATGAAGAAATCATGATGGACTAGCACAGACTGCTCTGCACCTGGAGCAAAGGCTTTCCTTTTAGCCACCAGAGCCCTGTTAGAAAACTGAAGCCATGGGTTGGTTACCACTGTAACGGGATCACTGAACCTGACATGGAGATGAAAAGACAGGAAGCTCTCACCATCTGGAATATGCAGTATCAGCCAGTCCTGTTTTGCACAATAACGAATAACATGGCAAAGACTGAGGGTTTTTCCCGTTCCCTTCTCCCCATCTAAAGTACGTGTTGTCAAAGAAAACATCACCAGAAGAGATACGTCTACTGTCAATAGTAATATTGCATTTCTTCTTTTCCCTCATTTGAAGGGAGAAAGCATTAGCTCCGGAGGGCCCAGGCAGGCAGGAAAGGATACAGAGAAGATATCGTACAGCTGGATGAGCAAAATTGGTGTTTTTCAGGCAACGCAGAAGCTCTAGGGCTGGTTTCCTTACCATCAGGCAAGCTTCATGTAATGTTTTCACCTGATAAACCAGGGAGGAGAAAGGAGAGGGTGAGGTGTGGAACTTCTAGCCAGTTCTTGGTACATACACTTTGCCTAAAATGGCAACCAAGAACATCAAATTGCATGTCTTCAATTTATTCAGAGGCTAGGCTGGTATTGGATTGAAAAATCTGTCTACATAATTTATTTACAAGCTGAAATACATTATTTCACACCAGGTAACATACTAGTCAGCTTTTGATTATTATGGAAGCCTAGATATTATATAAGTTAACTGAAATCTATAAATAATTCAGACATCTCATAACATTACTACGTATAACACTTAGGGTCAATGTATATATGAAAAGCACATAAAACGCTTGTCGACGCATCTGACACATGGCAAGCATTCAATAAGCATTCATTCTTTAAAATTTACTTTTAGTTAATTCTTATAACTATAACCACCTGGCTTTTCTCTAGAACTACAAACATAGTTCAGGAGCAGGTGTGACCAGCTGCCCCACAACTATGAGGCCACACCTCACAGAACCAGCCACTGACATGTAGAGCTTATGTGTTCATTCCCCTTTTGTAGCCATAATACTTTGGTGGAGAAAATGTGGGAAGCTTTTATATGTGTTTAAAAGTGATTTTCAAGGAAAGTATTTAATTATGTCTATTGAGAAGAATAAATATTTGACAAATACTATTTAGATTAAATACATTAAATATATTAGATAAAGCTTAAAAAATAGTGTTGATATTAAAAAAAAAATCCTAACCAGACAATTGGATTGGTGTAGGAATTGAGAGCTAAGTCCAAACTTAATGGAAAGCGCAATCTTCAAATAGCCATCTTAGGTGATATGACAGTACTAAAATACACAAACAATAGAGAGGAGGTGGCCTTCAAATAAATGGAAATGACAGCCAAGCACAGTGGCTCATGCCTGTAATCCTAGCACTTTGGGAGGCGGAGATAAGAGCATTGCCTGAGTCCAGGGATTCAAGACCATCCTGGGCAAATTGGCGAGACATCATCTCTCCAACAAATCAAAAAATTAACCAAGCGTGGTGGCTCCTGCCTATAGTTCCAGCTACTTGGAAGGTTGAGGCGTAAGTATCCCTTGAGCCCAGCATGTTGAAGCTGCGGTGGCTGAGAGTGTGCCACTGCACTAGACAGAGTGATACTCCAACTAGAAAAAAAAAAAACAGCAAAAAAGAAATAAAGATAGAACCTCACAACCCTGAAGCTAAATATTGTATTGGAAATGTCTTGGAGCAGTTTAAAGTGCTATTACAGATGATTTCTTCTGGTAGTGTACTATTTCCAATCTTATTATTATTTTTTTTGGAGTTGAAGTCTCGCTGTATCACCCAGGCTGGTGTGCATGCTCACAGCCAACACAGCCTGACCTGAGCTCAGGTGATCCTTTCACCTCAGCCTTCCAAGTAGCTGGAACTATAGGCGTGCACCACCATGCTTAGCTAATTTTTAAAAAAATTTATCGTAGAGGCTGGGCTCGGTGGCTCAGCCTGTAATCCAAGTACTTTGGGAGGCCGAGGTGAGTGGAATGTCTGAGCCCGTGGGTTCGACACCCTCCTGGGCAACTTGACAAGACCTCATCTCTACAACAAATCAAAAATTAGCCGGGCGCGGCAGCGCGCGTCTGTAGTTCCAGCTACTTGGAAGGATGAGGTGAAAGGATCACCTGAGCTCAGGTCAGGATGTGTTGGCTGTGAGCATGCACACAAGCCTGGGTGATACAGCGAGACTTCAACTCCAAAAAAAATAATAATAAGATTGGAAATAGTACACTACCAGAAGAAATCATCTGTAATAGCACTTTAAACTGCTCCAAGAC